AGATGGGCATTGTAAGCTATACGGCGGGGCGGCGCTGAGCGAGATGTATCGTTCCTTAGCTTGTGTGGAAGGCGACAGCACCGGGCACAGGAGCTGTGCCGTACAAAAAGTACCAGGGGCTTCCCCCATTCGGGCAGCAATAGTTGGGGGGAAGCTGTTTGCACTTTTAGTTAGCTCATAATTATTTGATTCCTTTTTACCTCTTACGGAGTGGATTACATACCATTACCCATGCCCAATGCATAATTATGCGACAGCCTGACTACCTTAAGCCATGTTGTAGCAGCAACGCTCCAGCCCAACGCCGGCGATGACACCCTTATAGATCATACGTCGATGGGAGGGAAATCAAGGGGGACGCAGAGGCAATATCTCGCGAGAGACCATAGTGTCATCACGTAATACCGAGAGGCCCTAAGAAGCGGTCAGCTAATGCATCCTATTACGGCTATGGATCGAGCTTGGATCGTACGATTTTCTTTTGGAAGTGGAACTCGAACTCTTGTCTCATTAGCTCTAGTATCTTCAAGCGAAAAGACGGAAGCCGTCTGTTTCAGAACTTCCATCGAGAAGAACCAACATTAAGCCCTCCGCCAAGGAGAACAAGCAAACTTCAAATCCAGACAGTCCCGGAAACGCCTCTTTGCTCTCATTTTTCTGTACATTGAGCGGCATGTCCACTTTGCCCAACCCTGAGTATCTCAAAGTCTATTTGCAGTTGCCTCCGGCCGAGGTCTTGTTTACACATCAAATGTTCTTCACCTTTAGCGTACTAGCAGCCTTGGCGCGAATTTCCTCACATACAGCATTGGTGACCTCCTTGGTGGTAGCTTTGCCCCCTAAGTCGGCTGTGATGATGCCCCCCGCGCATACGTCCTCAACGGCCTCCATTAGCAGGCTGCTGGCTTCCTCCTCCCCCAGCCAGGCCAGCATCTCGGCAATAGTCCAAAAGGTGGCCACCGGGTTAGCAATGCCCTTGCCCGTGATGTCGAAAGCCGATCCATGGATGGGCTCGAACATGCTCGGGTTCTCGCGGGTCGGGTCTAGGTTCGCAGTGGGCGCAATGCCTATCGACCCTGCAAGGGCGGCCGCGAGGTCGCTCAGGATGTCGGCGTGCTCGGGGAGAGTTAGTCAACTGTCCACAGCTTTATACAGGGGAAGAACCGCATATCGCTCACCAAATTCGTCGCAACGATGGTGTCGATGGACTCGGGGTGGAGCGTCATGCGGACGGTCATGGCATCCACGAGCATCTTATCCACCGTGACGTCTGGGAACTCTTTCGCCATTGCGGAAGCAACCTCATCCCAGAGCACCATCCCGTTGCGCTGTGCGTTGCTCTTGGACACAACTGTCAGCAGCTTCCGGGGGCGCTTCTGCGCCGTCTCAAAGGCGAAGCGCATGATACGCTCGACGCCGTGGCGGGTGAATATCGCCACCTCGGTGGCTGTCTCCCATGGCTTGCCGACGTGGGACCGACCTCCTTGGCCGGCATACTCACCCTCGCTGTTCTCTCGGATAATAACCCAGTCTAAGTCGCCAGTCTTACAGTTTCGCAGGGGCGACTGCACGCCGCGCAGAATCCGCGTCGGCCGCACGTTGGCATACTGCTGCAGAGGCTGGCAGATGGCGAGCCTCAAACCCCAGAGCGATATGTGGTCTGGGACGTCTGGGGCATGTCAGGATCGCCAAGAAAGGGAGCGAGGTAAAGGTACTCACCCGGGGCTCCGACGGCACCGAAGAGGATGGCGTCGTGCTTTTTCAGTTGCTCAAGGCCGCCATCAGGTATGTACTTTCCCGTTCTCTTGTAGGTTTCGGAACTCCAGTCAAGATGCTCAACTTGGACCTCGAACGTCTTCAACGTCTCGGTGATAGTCCTGAGGGCAGCGAGACCGGCCTCGATCACTTCCGGTCCGATACCATCCGCCGGAATGGAGGCGATGTTATAGACCTTGGCGGAGGCGAGGGCGGAGGGTGACATGACGATGCAGAGAAACGTAGACAATGAATACTGATGAGTGTTATGGAGCAGGTGGCGTGAGAGGCAGAAAGGATTTGGCAATACAAGCACCTTACTAAATATCTATTTCGCGGTCTTGTCAAGCCCCCGCCAGAAGCTCCACCGCGTGTTGATGCGGGGTTACGAAATACCGGCGCCCCTATGTATTGGCTCTCGAGGTTGCGCAACTGTTGGGCATTTTGTGAGTGGGGAAGCGGACTAACAAGAGTCCGCAGCGTATTTTGCCTCCCACTGCTGTAAGTAAAGGTACCTTAGGTGTTGAGATCCCTCGCGCCTATACCCTCCCCTTGATCAGAGGGTAAAATGACCCCTCTAGTGCAGATATCTACCATAATTTGTCGCAGCGGCCCTTTGTAATGCCTACCGCTCTCACCTAACTTGAGATTCTAACTAGGTAGGGCGATGCCTTCTGCCCCTCGCTCCGTAAACAGTCCGGACTTGGCTTTGTCCATTGACAGGCCATTTTAGTTAGCTTACAGTAGTTGGCTTTCTCTCCTGGAGCCTTTCGACGCAGCCGCAGGGTTACCCAAATGTTCTGGACGCGGTTTGAGGCGAACTCACTGACTCGCTACCCCACAGGCCCCCTTTACCCCAGCTCCCCCCCACCAACATACCCCAGATCTCCCTCCCCGCGCTTGGCAATGGCTGGATACAAGTCAGCCAGGGTGGAGGGTGCGGACGTGCTTTCTTCCGGCGCCGCAAATTGTTTGCGATGGAATAGACAGATACCAGGGCAACATTTCTTTACAAATGAAGGCGTCCCCGTTCTTTCCCTCGACGCTCTCGAACCATGGACAAAAGAATTGCACACTCGATCTAGGGATATATAACGCCAATTATCACAATGGCCTTGACCGATTCGACCAAGCCAACGCAAGCCGAGGTCGAGATGGCTGACGCTGCCCCGAGCAAGGCGAGCGTGGGACAGAAGCTCGCCCACGGTGTCGATCACTTCGGGGCGGCTTCCAAAGTCAGCGAGGAGGAGAAGCGCCTCGTCCGGAAGCTCGACATTCGTATTATGCCTACTCTCTGGATCATGTACTTTTTGAACTACGTAAGCCGACCATGTTCCTTCTTGGCCGGGGAGATGCTAATAACTCATGGGGGCCAACAGCTGGATAGGAATGCCATCGCCAACGCTCGACTCAACGGCTTGGAGAAAGATCTCGGTCTTCAGGGATCCCAGTACAATACATGCATCTCCATCCTCTTCGTCGGGTACCTCTTGATGCAAGTACCGTCAAACATGCTCATGTCTTCCCAAAAGTCATGGGTGCGCCCGTCCATATAGTATGTCCTGCTTCGCCCTTGGGGCAGTAAGAAAAAAGCTGGGAGTCGTATCAATGACTAACAGGACGGTTACAACAGCATGGCGAGCTGGATGGCTGCCTGGGCGGTTGTCTCGGCGCTCACTGCCCTCGCTAAAGACTACACCGGCCTCGTCGTCATCCGCTTTTTTCTCGGTATCGCAGAAGCTCCTTTCTACCCCGGAGCGATCTACATGCTGTCCATCTTTTACACAAGGAAAGAGATCGCAACCCGGTTGTCCGTCTTGTACTCCGGGAACATATTCGCCACAGCATTCGCAGGTCTAATCGCAGCCGCAACCTTCACAACACTGGACGGCGCCCATGGCATCCGGGGCTGGCGCTGGCTCTTCATCATCGAAGGGGTTGTGACATTTGGTGTGGCCTTGACAGCCGCATTTCTTCTCCCGGACTCGCCGCTTAGGACGGTGTGGTTGACGGAGGAGGAGCGGCAGCTAGCTCACGACCGTATCGTTCGGGATACGGTCGGACAGGAGCTAAGCCAGGGTAGCCGTGCTGGCTTCCTGCAGGCTATCAGAGACCCGAGGCTCTACCTGCTCTGCTTCATCCAGAATATGCACCTATCCGCCTGCTCGTTCAACAACTTCTTCCCTACTGTAGTAGGGACTCTCGGCTTCAATAGCACCATCACTCTTGTCCTTACATGTCCGCCGTACCTCATATCAGGGATATTCGGCTACATCGTTGGCCTCACCTCTGGAAAGTTCAATGAGCGGACGTGGCATGTGACGTTCTGCATGGGCATTGCCATGGGGGGTTTCATCATCTCATGTGCCACTCTCAACACAGCTGCAAGGTAGGCAGACTGGCGAGCCTCTGAGCTCCCTCCTCCCATTCTTCTTCCCAATTCTACTTCTGCTTGGAATCACAGATATGCTGACCCAAGGGATATCATAGATACATAGCTTGCTTCATGTTTGCCTCTGGAGCATACGCCGTAAATTCCGTAATTCTTGGATGGGTTTCAGCCACTCTAGGTCAAACGGCAGACAAAAAGGCAGTGAGCTTATCCATCGTGAACGTGGTGGCGAACGCGTCCTACATCTACACACCATACCTGTATCCGTCCGGCGATGGGCCCCGCTATCTGGCAGCCATGGCGAGCAACTGCGCGTTCGCATTCGCGACAATTGCTGGTGCTTGGGTGCTACGGTTCTGGTTGATGGCCTCCAATCGGAAGTTGATGCGTTCAGATACCTTTGACGGCCTGCTGTACGCATACTGAGATAGTAAAGAAGGAGTGGGGCGGACCACAGGCCAGCTAGAACCCCGATGCCTAAGTATTCTCTTCTCGCAGTGGCATCCAATATGGACAGAATGGCGGGTTCAACCAGCTTTTGCCCTAACTTTGCCATTGTACATACCTATCACCTAGCCTACCTCTACCTAACCTAGCATTCTGCTGAGCCTTCCGCCAGCTGTCTGCGTGTGTATCTGTGCTCTGATAGGACGAAATATTAAGTCCAATTTCATGAAAAGCCAATTCAGCAAATGCAGAAGACGCGACTCCGGCATCACTCATCATTTGCACAAAGTGGTACAATACTTACGGAGAGAGTCTTCAGATGACTAAGCCCCACAATTTTCCGAGGGTTCTTCCAATAACCCTTAAGAATTGATTTTCGCGCCGTTTCAGGATAAATGGCAATTCCGCTCCGGTGGTGTAGAGGATTATCACATCGTTCTTATACTTGAGGGGTTCTCAAGATATGCGAGGGTCCTGGGTTCGATCCCCAGTCGGAGCATTTTTGTCAATTTTTTTTGACAGTGGCACCTAATGATGTTGTAGTAGCAGGCAGGGTATTGAATTTCTTTAAGAGTCCCTCGAGCTACAAACACTTTTCCTTCTTTTTTTTCACCCCTCTGGTCTCAATTAGAGAACCTACCTTGGCCATCCCAGGCTGGCTAGCATGATAAGAGAGGAGCATACCTAGACAGCCACGCCACCCAGCTGAGACACCCTCTTCTAATCGTGTTAATTGCGACCAAAGAATCCACAACCGCAATTTCACTCAGTGTGATCTTTTCGAGGGAGGGGGGTGGTAGTTTTTAATAGAAATTATTTTCCGACCTTTTTTTTACCTAATTATGCATACATACATCCATACATAGATTATTACAAACTAGAGCTACCAATACTCTGTGACCAACACCATCACCACTGAGCGTAAATCATATTGGGTGCTTCGGCATCTTTCTTTCCTATGAGGTCCGCCTGGGTTGAGGCGCAGGGCCTGAACTGTTACTGTAGGAAGTAGTGGGTCTTTCCTGTGCTCAATAAGGCAGCAACCATCCTTGGTAAAATATTGCCAAGATGGAACCGTGTTGAGTTTAAGACTGCAACTCAAGGCGGAGGGACTCATTTAGCCTAAATTTTGTTGTGCCTCTGTGTACAGAGCAGCGCCTTTATGCCCTCTAAGCATGGAGTGTTCAAGTTAGTTGTCCGGTGCCTGCGCAGTCCGCCTAGCTTGCGAAGGACAGGATCGGATCCATAAATGGATCCAGCTGGGCTGCGGCAAGGAATGGATAATCGATGGCCGAGAAGGAATCTGTCACCATTTCTTGGTACCAACTTGAAGTTAGATGGGTACCAAGACCCTGCTCCGTGGTATCAAAATTCATGACCATGTTTTGGCCCATGTGGCCTCCATGAGGTGATATTGTGTCGGCTAATTCGATGTTCCCATGCAAGCGGCTTTGCTCCTGGTGAGAATTGCCTGGGCAGGATGTGTGGTGGCAGCGAGATCCGGCCTGCGGGTGGTTTGAGGGCGTAGATTGTAGCAGTTCCGGTTGTCGGAAGTCCGCTGTATCACCTGTGCTCGTGCCTGGCGTGCTTTGCGTCTGGCCGACCTGAGAAGTGGCTCGATCTCTGGCGTCAAAGGAAGAGCCCAATGCGACGTTTTCGGGAGGGGTAGAATGTTGGCCGCGATCGGTCAGCGCTGGTTCGGATGATACTTGGTCATACACATCCTCGCCGCCGGGAGAACGGGCCGAAAGGTTGTGTCTGGTCGTCTGCGCTTGTTTCTCGATAGCCGCAACCAGACTCTTGACAGCACTACGGCAATACTCAGGCCATGAGGTGTCGCGAGCAGCCAAGTGAATCAGCACCTTTGTACTCTGCTCGGCATGGCTATAGGCAGAGTTAACCATCACGGCTCAACGACTTTGATAGATGGGGTAGAAGTACCGCCTGAAACTTTCTAGAGGCAGTTGTCCCTCAAAGGCCCCATAGACTAGAACAAACGCGCTCATCCAGATAGCCCACGGAAAGGACGGCCAGACCATGGGAACTACCAGGGATGGTTTCGGCTGGCCTATAGGGCTAGGCTGCATGTCATAAAACTTGGAAAAGAGCGAGATGATGCTTCGGGAGGCCGCGATACAGTTCTGCAGGGCCGCTGCGTACGCTGGACTACCGGGTGCGGCAGCCATCATGGGCCGGTTGAGCGCTATCACGGACTCTTGTTTCAAGACCAACAAGAGCAGGCGGTGCGCAGGCGGCAGAGGTGGCACAAACGGGCCGTGGCCGTCGTCTACTATTGAATCGGCACCAAGGTCCTCGTCCACCGCGTCGTGGATCTCATTAGCCCACCTCGCTAGCTCGGCCGTGACTCGGTCGACGTGGTCCGGTGTGTCCTGGCGCGAATTGACAGACTTGTTCCGCAGCTCGAGAATCAGACCGGTGATATTTGCATGCTTCGCCAGGTACGTCATCAACCTCAGCCTCGACGCCTCGCTCCGCGTCGATGGATCCGTTGAGCGTGGTATCAAACTGTGCTGCTCGTCGTCTGCGTAACAGACGTCTATGTCGTCGTTGGGTAGATCAAGGGGCAGGCCGAGCGATTGGCATAAGCGGCGTTCGAGAATGTAGATACACCAGAACAGACGCCTCCGCATGCCCACCTCGTCCGGTTTGAAGGATGGAAATCGGGCCGGGCAGCGGTGGAGCCCAAGGTGAAATGCCACCCGGACTATCAGGCCGCCCAGGCGCGAGGCCGAGTTGAAGTGAAGCATTGACATCAGGAACAGCTGCACACAGACGGCGGCCTGCGTTAAATACACCGAAGCCGGCTGCTGCAGGATGGACTGCACACTCGACAGCGCCTCGTCGATCGAGACAAACACTAAATAGGACGGAATCGGCGCTTCAAACTTGGTTCCTTGGCGGCTATCGGCAAGGGATATGGACAAAACAGAGCGCAAGATCAGGCTGCTGGGTACCGAAAGAGCCTCCAACCCCTTTCTGCTTACCTCTTCAAAGACATCCAAAACGCCTGGCGCGTGTAGAAAAGGAAGAGCCGGGTGCCAGAGCTCAAAGTAGCTCCTAGACCATGCCACTAGTTGCTCGAACGAGGGCGGCGGACAAGGCAGATCGGCAGTTGTCTCACCTGGATGCCACAGGCACCGCGAGTTTCTTTGCACAGGGTCGTCTCCGAGCTGGTCGTCCTCACCCGGCACCAAATTGCTTGGCTGCGGGCTGGATCGACGACTTTGGCCAGCGTGGTGGACCGCCAAGGCTGTGTACACGCCACGGATGAAATGGATGCCGGTGCCACTTCCGACAAATCGTGGCATGTCAGACCGGCTCGTATCTCGCATCAGGCCCAGCTCCCAAGGCGGCCGTGGGGGTCCTTGCGGACGGCCGCCGCCTTGGTTGCACGAGGAGCATCTCTTCCGCTTGTTCGGCTGGGCGACTGGCTCTCTCCCGGACGGGGCCGACGGGGACAACGGGGCGTCTGCGGTTTGGCGGTGGGCGAGGTAACCTGTCTCCATCGTCTGTCGTATATCCTTCTTGTTAACACGCCGGGGGGATAAATTGGTTGTAGCCCTGGACAAAACCTAGTCCGGTATTTGTTAGAGTGAGCGGGGAAAGACAAGTCCGCAGTGTAACCACCCCCACCTGGCTCGTCCACACCACGCGAGTCAGAAGACCCCAGGCGGTGGAACTAAGCCGAACATAGCCAAGCCATGAGAACCCCCGGTCTTGCTCCGGGCGGCATTCTGTCCTTGCTGACTTTAGGGTCATCTCTGCTAGAGTACCATGCCAACCAAGGCGCGCTCTCTTCCAAACCTTTGGATAGTTCATGATGGCGGACTCTTCTGTTGACCCAGGGACAAAGGACCAGAGGCAAAGCCCGATTGCCTGCGAAGCCTGTAGACAACGGAAACGGAAGGCAAGTTCACAACTTGACCCCCGTCCTCTATATCTCATCCATCGGCCACCTTTACACGTACCATCAACGCTAACCCGGCTCGCAAGTGTGATCGATTAATGTTAGTCTTCCCTAGCAGCAGTGTGCAGGTCTACTTTACCCTCTAACAGCCCGAATTCCAGTCCCGTTTGCACCCAGTGTACCGACACCCCGTCGAGATGCAAATATCCAAGCCCAAACAAGAGGTAACGAGCTCTTCTTCCTACGCCTTTCTTGAAATTCAACTAGTACCAATCCTGATTGTGGTCCCTTACTTTCCAGGGGGATACCTGTAGGTTATGTGAGCCGTCTCGAGCGCCGGCTTGCCGAAACAGAAGCTGCCCTATACCGTGCACTCCTTCGAAATGGTCACAACTCCTTAGATGTAACAGAGTCACCTGATGGTGTCAAATGGCCAGATCAGACATCCCACCGAAGTAAAGACGACTTAATGCATGAATGGGACCGACTGCCACTGGATTCTGCTCCCGGCGTGCTCACGTGGTACCATCACCGATCCACAATCGCATCAGGGGAAAACAGCGCGCTGCCAGGAGCACAGCCTGAATCCCCCATGATACACAATATTGGAGTGTTACCGGATAGTAACACCGGCGATGATGATACGATGTCTCCTGCTGAAGATTTTCACAGCGCCATCCTCCCCACCTTCGCCACCGCCGGGGACGGTCCCGAAAGCATCGTGAGGGCCTCGTCACCGTTTGCTGCACCAATCACCTCGGATGTACCCCAATACCCCTCCAGCAAAGCAGAGGCTTTAGTGCGATCCCGAAAAGACTTATATTTTTAATATTCCGAGCTAGGGCACTCTATCTCTTCAGTCGAGCTCACACAATACCAACATACCACATGAAGAGAGAGTTCCGCCACTCTGTGCGTAAGACTCCCTTAACCGATCGGGTGTCAGTCCGACAGCCGTGCGGTGTTTCCAGAAGTGGTAGACCGAGGAGCTACATTCCAAGGCAGGCTCATGCATCAGGTCATTAGATAGCGAAAGTGGCTGAGGGACTAGGGGGCTTGGCCGGCAGTCGCCGACCAAAAGGCTGCAAGCCAGCGAGTTAGAAGCAACGCTGGAAGCTTGAATTATACAGCTCTCGTCAAATGCCGGTCGCAATCAGTTTCCTTTCGCATCCAGTAGCGCTGTACTGCCTAATAGTCTATGCAGGAGTCCGCATAACGTGGGGGGCTATGTGGCGACGTGCAGCCAGTTGCATGAGATATGAACAATCTGCATTGTCCCCATCCAGAAGCCCTCCGACTATCCGATACCCAAGGTAAAAAAAGAAAACTTCCATATAGGTCCAGCTAGCTCATCTCCGCCCCAAGCTATGTGGCACTCGGCACCTTGACGAGCCCCTAGAGTGACTCCACCTCCCATCGGCCTAGGCAGCATCTTCGGACTTGACAACAGCCATCATGGCAAATACAGCAGGGATAATTAGCTCGGTTAACGTTCTCACAGCTGAAGATTTCGCAGGTGATGAGGCCGCTCGCAGCGAAGCTATTTCTGCGGCACGCAAGCTGATTTATCG